GGGGGGGGGGGTCTAAGGTCATTTCATGAGAGTCGGGACGGAATTAAAGCGGAGACGTCAAGTCAGACACTTTTTGCTCCTGGTAATGACGCTCTCGCAGTGTTTGCATACATTCACAGATGAAGTGAATTTAAATGCAACATTTGCCAAATACACAGATGTTTCAGAAATGTTTTCATAAAGCAACAGAAATGTTTAAATGCCAATTAAGTGGGGGTGTATATGCTTTCATCAGTGTTTTTTTTTAAACGTGACTCAATATAACAGTGCCACTACCTAAAAATGCTTTTACTGTTATAAAAACAGATTTGTGAGCATCATTGGAATTGAATTGTTAGAATATGCAACACACATCGTGCTTGTCATCACAGAATCTAACCAATGAGAAAAAGTGTCATCATCAAGGCTTTTGCAGTGCCTGACCTAGGCGGCTGGTCCTGTTTTGCTCTCGCGGTACTTTGAATGCACATGTGATCATAGGCCAGCTGCAGCGCCGATCAAAGTTGGACAAAAGCATTTTTAATGTAACCAGAATGCATTGTTTTTGACAGGCGGCAGCCAATCTTTGCGGCACCGCATGAAGTTGAACAAGCCTAATATCTCTAAAGAGTGTGTTTTTTGGTTGTGAGGAAAAGATAACCTTTTCAGTGTTATGTGAACAGTGGATGCAATTTGTTTTTCCAAGGCAGTAATGGAGTTTCTCAAGCATGTTTGTTTGTTTGTTCCCGTCATTTCGGTGATGAATGTTTTATAACAAGGTACATTCTGACACTGGATTTGCACATCGTTTGGTACTGGAAGATGGAGAAGCCCCAGAGATAAAAGATCCCGGTCATATAGGAACTGCTGTAAAACTGCATCAAATGTCTGTGATTGTTGGTAAGTGTAAGTGCTCGTGACTCTTCAGCTCCGCCCACGGCTCGCCTCCAGGAGCTTGGCTGTTTTCAGAGAGAATCGCAAGCTGTATCTTTCTTTTATAAATCTGATAAAACTGAATTCTCTTTGGAGATGTGAAGGATGCAATACTACACTATAGGTATTCAAGATTAACATGAGATTGGCCAAAACTATGTGTCTTATGTCCCCTTTAACCTAGTCAAGTCGACTTTATTTTTATATAGTCTCAGCCTCAGACGTCACGCCTCGGACTGTTGGCTAAACGTCTGATGCATATGGCACACAAAAGTGGAAACACTTCAGGAGTTTCGAAGTCGTCATCAGATTGGTTGAATTATACAGGATTTCCGGGAGACGTGTGTGTCAAATTCTTTAACGTTCCGCTGGAAACAAAGATGCCGTGACGCCACACCCTTATGAAAGAAGAAAGCCATTGTGTTTACAACTGTGACGACGAGTGCTTATCAGGATCAACTAAACGCTGGATTCTCAAAGTATGTAAAATATTTAAGTTTGCGGCACAGAATTGTAGCGAATCAGCTCATGGGGAAATATGAATAATTAACCATAACTAGTTATAATTAACTATTCATATTTTAGATCCACTGTAGATATTTAGCTGACCACTCAGGGTCAACCGTCTTGTCAATTCTAAGAACGTTAATTTCCGCTACAGAATCTTTCAAATACGTGTGAGCGTTTTACACACCGGTCTGTTATTGAGGCAACATTTCCATGCCCCGAAACGTGCCGCTGAATGAAATGAACTGTTATTGGTTGTTTGACATGTCGGTCAAACGGCCTCAGCTTGGCCAAAGAAAGCTGCCATGAATTCCAGACCTTCAGCCATCAGTCTGAAGGTCTGGCTACACGAGACTAATTTTTATAGCACAACAGCACAGATTTAAGCAGCAGGAAATAACGACCATGGTGCAAACTGAATAATTTCTGCCGCCGCGCAGCTCCAAGAGAAAATGGTAAATGGTCATTGTTCAGTTGAAGTGGTCTGCATCTGAAAACCTAGGCTGCTGACATGCTGCCTCTCCGCTGCAGGCAGCGTTGGTAACACTTTATTTTAGGGTCTCTTAACTAGTTACTTATTAGCGAGACTAATTTTTATAGCACAACAGCACAGATTTAAGCAGCAGGAAATAACGACCATGGTGCAAACTGAATAATTTCTGCCGCCGCGCAGCTCCAAGAGAAAATGGTAAATGGTCATTGTTCAGTTGAAGTGGTCTGCATCTGAAAACCTAGGCTGCTGACATGCTGCCTCTCCGCTGCAGGCAGCGTTGGTAACACTTTATTTTAGGGTCTCTTAACTAGTTACTTATTAGCATGCATATTACTAGAATATTAGCCATTTATTAGTTGAGCACATATTAATGCCTGATTCTACATGACCTTATTCTACATCCCTAATCCTACCCAATACCTAAACTTAACAACTACCTTACTAACTATTAATAAGCAGCAAATTAGGAATTTATTGAGAGAAAAGTCGTAGTTAATAGTGAATGTGTTCCCTATTCTAAAGTGTTACCGCAGCGTTTGTTCATGAAGGTAACTCATGAAACTGATATCGGACATGCTTCTGAGGCAGCTTAATGGTTCAATGATCTACAACAAATAGAACGAGCTTGGTGATAACTAAGCAAATATTAAATTATTTATTTGATCAACCATCACAGGATAGAACACACAGGATTGTGGGTATCAAGGCAGCAAAGGATACATCTTTTCTGCTTTTTAAATATAATACCAGATGAGGTATCTCAGGAGGCAGGAATTGAAGCAATTTTTTTTTTGTTGAAATAATAACATTACAAATGTTGGATGACAGCATGAATACCAAGAAAAAGAAAAGAAAAAAAAAAACCCCGCAAAGGACACAAGTACAGCAAGTAATTAACACTTCAGGGTAACTTAAAAGAAACATACAAATAAACCCCGGCAGCAAATTACCAAACAGAATAATGCATCATCAATTTAAAACAATTCTTTTAGAGCTTGGGCTATACTACTCCAATAAGTGACAGTTTGTATTCTAGCCCCATTAATCCTGGCAGTGCTGCGTTCTAAACAAACAATATAATGAAAAGACAGCAGCCAGAATCTTCTAAGATCCATGTCAGGAGTGAACCATTGCTGTGTAATAGTTTTTTTAGCAGCAGTGAAACCAGACATTAACAATCTTCTCTGAACTAATGTAAAGTTGTAGGAAGAATCATCATTTAACAACATAAGACAAGGATCAAGGTCAAACTGCAACTTTTTGATCTGTTTTAGTACTTGAACTACATGTTTCCAAAAACTGGATATAACTGAGCAGTCCCAAAACATATGTAAAGTACCTTTAGAGCTATTGTTACACAGACTGCAATTAGGAATTGATGAGAGTTTCATGAAGTAACGCTTATATGGGGTACAATACATTTTGTGTACAGTTTTGAAATTAATAAGAATGTGTGAGGGGTTTTGGAGGTAAGACAGAGATTTGATCAAACTGTATTCCAATCAGGACTATAGCCCAACCATGAGAGTTCTCTCTCCCACACAGCTAATACCTTCAGGGTCTTATATGAACATTCAAGTAGTTGTTTATAGATCAATGAGACTGTGTCCTGAATTTTTCCAGTATTTTTGAACCACTTTAACAATGGGTGATCATCTAGGCTAGAATTCCAGGGTACCCCATATGCTTTCATTGCAGACCTCAACTTCAAGTACATAAAAAAGGAGGTACCTGGCAAAGAATAATCTGCTTGAATATCCTGAAATGTGCGCAATCCACTACCATTAAATATATCACCAAATGTGAGCACACCTTTTAAGGACCAGGAAGGGTAAATGAAAGGCTGATTACCAGATAATAGGCGGGCATTGTTCCAGAGAGGAGAC